GCTCCGCGCGCGCCTGCTCTCCCCGGCGGCCGGTTCCCTGGGCGGAAGGGCGGTCGGCTCACACGTGCGCGGGTTTGGTGCCCGTGGGCAGGAAGCCTGGCAGACGTGCAGGACGCGCTGCTTTCCCTGATGGTGGCAGGCGCTGGAGGAGCCGGTGCCCTTGAGCTTGAGGCAGGACCCTCGCCCCCCATCGTTCAGTAGGTCGAAATCCCGGGAGGCCTCTGTTTTTCAGTAACACAGACGACACCTTTTTAGATCGCCTATTTGCTCTAGAGCTACAAAATTTAATTCAAGAAAATATAGGTCCCGTGAAAGACGCAGAAGTTTTATAAAACTAAAATCTAGTTCTCCCCATAAACTGTACTTTAGGCAAAACCGTCCCAACGCTTCCCAAATAATACTAAAGGGGCGTCTGATTATACAAGAGCAGTTACAAAAATTAAATATTTATTTGAATAACAAGTTTTAAGTTCGAGCTGCGAGGTTGGCGATGCAGATTTTTTTTAAAACACAGATCACAAAAAGCGTGCACAAAGGTACTGGCGCCAAGAACAAAACAATGCTAAGAATTAGGCTAAATCACTGCTGACTTTAGGAAAACCAAAGGCCCGAGATCACTATACAAAATATAAAATGTATTAAACACTACCATCCACAGAACAGTCTTTATTATTGATTATATTTAAAAATTATTTGCGTAGTTAATTATATATTGAATTGTAAATGAGTATTATACATGAGCCCTCTTTCGGAAGGCAATTCCTTGTTGCACTATAGAACATCTAATTACATTGCAAAAAGTATTCTTTTTTGCTAACGATAAAGCAAACAGTTAATGGTATTACTGTAAATATCAGGAAGGCTACAAAAAAAAAAAAGAAATATGATTTCTTTTTTGTCTTCAAAGGGCTTTCCATGCAGAGTGAAGCACTTGCCGTGTTGAACTGAATGCACGACCAGAGAATATCCTGGGACCGAGACGCTCTTGAATGACAGGACTAGGCCTTTCAAATAAACTCAAAAGGAATCATGCAACCCTCTCACCACCGGGATATCATCACGTGCCACTTACCAAGGCTGTCTCTCCAGAAAACCATTTGAGACACTCAAAAAAAGACCAGACTTATGTGATAAATACACAATGAAAAGACACAAACTACTACTTGACACTACTATTGGTAATGTCTGTGCTATGTGAAAGCACCTTTAAAAAGAGCCTATGCGGCGAGAGATAAGTGTCTAAAGATTCAAAATGAATCAACAGTATTGGATAACAATATAATTCTCAACTCAGAAGCTGCCTCAGGATAGGTGCATCTTCAGTTAACGTAACAGGAAAAAAGGCAATGGACTTTATTTTATTAATTGCATCCACTCACAATCGACCTAAGGTCACCAGATGTGTAGACACAATGAGATTTGTTGTTGTTGTTTATAGTCTTTAATTGGCGTGATGATAAAGGAAATAGATCTATTCAAAACAAAACCAAACAGCTATTTCTGTCTAGATTAAGAGGTGGCCCCTGGTGTGGGGTTCACATTTTGAGTGGCCACTTGTGGTGCGACTTCGATGATCCGGGGTTTGTCTATGATTCGGGCTGTGCGGTTTCCCTTCTCTACAATCCCAATAATCCATGCCTGGTGGCCTTCCCCATATTTGGGGGACTTTATCTCTGCACAGAACCGGGCCGCTTGCTCGCGTGGTAAACAGATCAGAAGGCCTCCTGGCAAAGGGAAAAAGAACGGCCATTAGTCCAGATCGGAGAGCAGCGGCTCTGCCTTGACCCTCCTGACAGGCTTCTGGCCAGACCTAAGTTCCGGCAACCACCTGGTGCTGTCGACACGCGAGCTGCTCCTTCCACTTGACTAAGACGCCTGCTCTAGTCTCACAAGTAATGAAGTTGACTGCTTGGTGAGCTCCTACTCTTTAAAAAGCACACCCACCCACCCACCCACCCCCCGAACTGTCAACTGCGAAAATGACCTATATGAATCATTTAATGCCACGTGGGAGGAAGGTGGCTGGGTCTCAGTGACATCTGGGGGAGCTATTTCTTCACGCTACGCCGAAACAGTTACAGAGCAGAACCTGTTCTTTTCGGTTTGACTTTCTACATCCATCCCCTCACTGTATCAAAGACGCTTTCGTACTTCTTAAACTGAAGACTCACGGAAGAGTGTATGCCTAGTATTTAGGCTCTAGGCTTGACTGTCATTATCTTCAAGATAGAAGGTCCTGCTGTATTAAAACCAAACCATGGTGGCTATTTCCAATAGCTAGGCCTGACATTTGTATGCATTTCTACGGTGAAAGAGCAATCAGAAAAGCATTTCTATTTATTGATATTCTACTTCCACAGAAAGCAACCGCGTATTTCCGAGTAAAGGAAACAGACGTCGAGTGCCGGTCGTATTCACTAAGGCCCTGACTCTTTCCGTGCCGCAAGGGGACAGACAGGGCTCCAGCCGGACGCGGCCGCAGGGGGAGACCGCGCCCTCTCGGAGCGTCCTTCCCGGACACAGGCCTTCTTCCTTTTCTCCGCGGAAAGCCGAGGGGTCCCTGCTCCCAAGGCGGGCGGCCGGCAGTCCCAGCGCGCGCGCCCCGAGTTTCACCAGGCCTCCCGGGCCGGGCCCGGCACGTTTTCCAGATCCCCAGGCGACTCCCCTCGGGCCGGCGCAGAAAACCGGAGTCGCGGAGGG